TATTATTTATTAAATACTATAATAATTAATATTGTTTAAATAATTAATTTTAATATTGTATAAATATTTATTTAATATATATAATAAAATTACTTTATTTTACTATTATAATACTACTATAATTAAATAATTAATTTAATATTTTTAAAATATATATTTAATATACAAAGTATATATATTATAAAAAAAAGAAATTATTCACATATATTGGTATTATAAAATTATTTACAAGTTACTTTTATTATAATAAAATTAATAAAATCGCAATATATATATAATAAAAAATAGGTTATAATGTATAATATAAACTGTAATTCAAAGAACATAGTATGATCTATGATTGTATACTTGTACCCTATTAATACATATAATCATAAATCATAATAAATCAAAAATGGATAAAGCATATAAAATAATCCTAACAGACAATCACATACCCTATGCATGACACCAAACTGAGAACAAGAGAAGGCCACAATATCTGGGTTTCAGAATCACGGTGATTTAAAGAGATTTGCATTAAAAAAATAAAAAATGCATGTTATATAATAATGGTGTAAGATAATAATATAATAACTCTGGAACAATCAATAGTGGAAAAAAAATAGCCAAAGACCTAAAGATTGAATAATTAATATCTAGAAAAAACTGTATAAAAGCAAAATGAATGATATAAGAAAACTTATCTAACAAGTAAATAAAAAGATCCAACTTCCTTAAAAAGCAAAATGAATATAATAAAGAAAACTTAGCTAACAAGTAAATAGAAAGACCTAACTCCCTTATATAAAAAAGAAGTAGCTATAGTGATAGGTTAGTCGTTGTAATTGTGAAAAGATATTAGTAGTTGTTAAGACAAACCAAAGTGCAAAAATAAAAAGAAGTATACTCACCCAAATCGTATCGACCAGGATAAAATCATAATGATATTTAGTAAAATATTAATTGATTTAGTATGTGATTTTTTTCAATTCTTTAAATAAAAAGTGATCATTGTAATCTCGGCAAACCAAGTGTTTCCTTTAAAAGTATAAAACCCAATAAATACAATAATCTAAAAATATGCAGTGATTGCCATAACCAAATTTCTATAAATCAAAATAAAATTATAAAAGCAACTGTACCGAAAAGCTATGAGCAAAGTTTTTATAATTCTGGATCCAAGACGTAACAAAAAAAAGTATTAAAAAAAATATAATGAATTCAAATAGTAACAAATAGCTCGATATGTTTAATAAAAACTTTGAGCCATTGGGATTATAATCATTTTAAAAAGGCAATGAAATATTCCAAATACTTGAAAAACCTAATAATAATACTTTTTGGCTGTAATAGATATTATGTTTATTAAATTTATTCGAAATAAATAAAATGATTAATTTATTGCTTACCGTTATTATTTTGTTAGTCTATAATTTTTTTTTGTTTGTATTTTTTAGTTCAATTGTTGCTCAATATACTTGTTACGTAGGTTCAAGATTTTTTTGGGTGGCAATTTTACCTTGATTAATCATATTCAATACCTTTTTATATTTTGTTTTGCATCATATTCGAAGGGAGTTTAATTAATGGCCATCAGATTGATATATATAGCGAATATAATAATAAAGACTAAATAATAGACTATTATACAAAATCAGAAAGAAAACGCAATTAAGAAAAATACATACTGACAATTTCTCATCTGTATTATACTGCCATTCTAAGGATCTACAGAAGTTTGTTGTTGATGAATGGCTAGTGGGTCTCTGTTATAATATTTTTTTCATAAGATTTGTTGGCCGTAAGTATTACAGGGTATTTCAATTTGAAGATTTCCAAATTGTCACTTATAAGATACAGGCTTTCATATAAAATAATTATGATAATTATGTCAAAATGATTATTTGATACTATTGAATAATATGATAAAATTCTGTTTTTCTGCATATAAGGCTATATTTATTGATATTGAAAGCACCAAACCCACAATATACGTAGACTAATAACTAAATAGACAATAGTCGATATTAAGTAAATAAGATAGAACAAAGACTACTTGATATATAAAATTGAATGTTCAAGATTTAATTTATTTATTTATTTGAACAACAATACATACTTCTTAAATACTTTCATACTAGCTATAATAATAGAGATTACTGATATGAATCTAAATTTTAATTCAATAGTATATTACTATGTGAATGATCAAGCACTAATAATTATACCATTTAGTTACCATAGTTATTTAATAATAATTAGTAATATATATGTTTACAAAGAAAATATCTAATGCACTAAACTTCGGTATTATATGTACTGTATTCGCAATTGAAGCAATAGGAATTAAGATATAGTGTTTAACATGTTTAAGAATTGTACACTTATAAAAATAATAACGAGTATATCAGATAGATAGGCAAAGTTGTACTAGTGAACGAGAGCAAGCTCAAGCTTCTGATTTAGTTTTGGCGAGGTAATTCGAACAATAAGAAGAACCTAAAAATATAAAAATATTTAAATTATAGTAATATTACTATCATGTTATCTGTAAAATTAAACAAAAAAACAATGTACATACCTTTGCATAACATAAACTATTATCTGTTAAATAGTTATCCTGTTCGGATTTATCTATTTCAACACAAATATTTGAAAAACTGCTTGTCTATAATAATTAGAAAATATGCGAATAGCCACTTATAATTATTGTCTAGATAAGCAAACTCAAATACTTCAATCAAAACTACCTCATTTTCGATTTCTTGTGATGACCAATGTTCGATATTTTAAAGATAATCGTAAATGCAATACTTCAGTTTTTCGAAACCGCATACCCGAAATTTGTCTAAGTTTGATGCATTTGCTAGCTAGCTTATGACTTGATCGATCGTATACTATGTCATTTTTCTGATAGTTTTGTTTGCTATGATACCATAAACTGAGCTATTATTAGGTCTTGATTGAAACTTTAACACAAGTAAAGTAAAGATATTCTGCTGAGTTACCTTACAAAATTTAAAATAAAATTGAAATCTATATTGATATTCACTTAATTGTAGGCATCTCTTATTAGATCGTCACATTATATTGTAAAATACTTATAGTTGCTTGCATTTGTGTGTTTATATTGTGTTTATTTGTAATGTGGAATAGTTGCTTGATATTAGTTTGTGTAATAATTCATATGTTTCGCTTATAAAACCATTAACAGCTCCAAACTGACAAATTGATAGTATTAAGTGAA